AATAATTGAAATGGAAAAAAAAATCACTGAGAGATTCAAAAGCATATTGGAGCAGACAGAAGAAAGAATCAGAGAACTTGAATATAGGACAATTGAAATTATTGACTCCAAGGAACAGAAAGAAAAAGGAGTTTAAAGAAAAGCGAGCACCATCTCAGGGACCTGTGAGATCCCACCAGGTGGACCAACTGTGGGAGTCCCAGAGGAGAAAGAGAGAAAGGGGCAGAGAGATTATTTAAAGAAAGAGTGGCCAAAACTTCCCCACATTGATGAAAGACATAAATGTCTAAAAATAAGTGATGAACTCCAAGTCATAGGAACACAACAGCATCACACCAAGACATGTTATAATCAAACTGCTGAAAGACAAAGACAAAGAAAGAATCTTGAAAGCAGCAAGAGAGAAGCAACTGGTCATAGGGAAGAGATCCTCAGTGAGATAATCGCCAGATTTCTCATCAGAAAGCTTGGAGGACAGAAGGTAGTGAGCTGATTGATATATTCAAGGTGCTGCAACGATTTGATAAAGGTGTTGGTTCATTAGGCTGTTCTGTGAATTTTATATAAAGATCTTTGGAGAAATTTCCCTTATCATGCTTATTAATAATTTTTTACACTTTCCAAAATTGCTTCTTTAAAAGGTATTCACTACAACTAATGGGATGATAATACAGATATCTGGAACCCTACCTGTTTGCTTCTCCTTTCCTCCTTTCCAGGACAATCTCGCTTCCTCTTTCCCAAAGGTAACTGTTGTAGAAGCTCTCAGCGGCTCTCAACCTTCCTGGTGCCGCGACCCCTGAATACAGTTCCTCATGTTGTGGTGACCCCCAACCATAAAATTATTTTCATTGCTACTCTAATTACAATTACTGTAAGTAACAATAACTGTAATTTTGCTACTGTTATGAATCGTAATGTAAATACCTTTTTGTTTTCCGATGGTCTTAGGAGACCCCTGTGAAAGGGTCGTTCAACCCCCCAAAGGGGTTGCGACCCACAGGTTCAGAACCACTGTCTTAGAGGCTTCTCCATATTCATTCTGCCTCTTCAGCTTAGTCTAACAAACTCCAGATTTTAGCTGGTACATTGCTTACCAGCCAAAAGACTACATTTCCTAGCTTCCCTTGCAGCTACATGTGGTCATGTTTCTAAAATCTGGCCAATGAGATGTAAGTGGAACTGTCATGTGAGATTTCTCAGAGCCTTCCTTTAAAGGCAGGCTTTTCTCTCCTTCTTTCCTTCTTCCTTCCTGCTGCCTTGCATGTTGATATGATGGCTGGAGCTCTAGCAATCATTTCGGATCTTGAGGACAAGGACCATATCATGGGACACTGAGATGGTGACTCATAAGGTGCCTGTGTCCCTGGTGACTTTGCAGAGCTTCCATACTGGCTGCCTACGTCTGGTCTTCCTTTACACATAGGACAAATGAGCATCTTGTTTAAGTCACTTTTACCCCCGTTTCTGTTACTTACAATCAAATCTAATTCACCCTGATAGCAAATATTGGCAACCTCAGTGTTTCCTTCCACATATTTCTCCAGACCATACAAGTATATACATATAAACACATATATAGATAGGGGATTATTTTTCATGTTCATTGTTTAAAAACGGAATCAGTAAGAATCTTGGTTTCTAACATTTCTTTTAAAAAAAAACAAAAAAGAATATCATAAATGCAAAATGTAAGCAAAAATTGCATATTACTTATCACTTTCTAATCAGCGAAGATTTTTAAAAGACCATTCTCGATCCTGGCATCCATGAATTGAAATGAGTGCCAGTTAGCCTTGAAGGTTTGGAAAGAATTAGTATAAATTCTCAGGATAGTGACTTAACGACATGTAACAAGAGCTTTAAAATGTTCATGCTCTCCAGTGTGGCAATTCCACTTCGAATGTGAGTTCAGGAAATAACCAGAGAGGCCACGACCTGTGGGAATGCTGACGGCTGTTGGGCACAGAGTATAGGAGACACTAACGGCTCACAGTAGGGCAGCAGCCATGACATGTGCTATGTCCACAAAATGGAACACCCTGCAGTCATTAAACGTGGTGTTTATAAACAATTTTAACAACAGAGGAAAATGCACCCCATAAAATGTGGACGAGCAAGCTACAAACCAAACATGAAAAAAGTACGTGAATCACGCTTGCGAAAAACCCCAAAATAAACATTTTAAAATGTTCATTTCAGGTTTCTCTAGGGGTTGGCGTTGTGGGCAACTTTTAGCTGCTTTGTACATTTTTCTTTGTTTCCGAGATTATGGTAAACATTTACTCAGGCATAGAGGAGGAAAAGCCTGAATTAATGCAATAACAGCAAAGACTGAATGCTTCCTGTGCGATTGAGGCCGGGCAGCCCTGAGCTTGGAACCACCGTGGCGCAGGCCCTGTGGAGGCGGCAAAATGACCAGCACCCCAATGGACACAGTGTAGTCTGGCCTGTGGCTGAAGGTGCAGAAACGGGGTTTGGGGCAGACAAGAGCAGTGATGAGCCTGCTGCCTGAGCCGGGTTTCTCATGCAACCCTCAGACTCCCGCCCACCCTACTGTCCTGCTCACAGACGGGAACCGCCAGGCCCTCCTCGCCTCACCTCTGATCCTCCCCTAGTCCCGGCTTCTTGGTTCTAGTCATTTCTGTGGGTGAGATTTACATCCACCAACACAGGGTCTCCCAAATGCTGCTGGGGTTCTTCCCTGGTTGTGAGGTGCATAGTAGGTGCTTCACAACACTGCGTCTTTTCTCTGTAAAGCCCCTTCTTTTGGCCTCACAGCACGGGGGCAGGGCCAGGCTGGAGCGGAAGGGACCGTCACCAGCCTGTGTCCTGCCCAGGCAGCCACGTGTTCACTCTTACCAGAAGGCCATGTCTGACTAGACAGCATAGGGACTCAATCTGTTATTAGAGAGAGAGAAACAAACTACCTTGCCTGTGCCCTAACATCACATGAGAAAATGTAAAGGGGAACGCGTCCCCAAGCCACACCAGCATGTGACGGCGGGACGAAGGGGGCAACCTGTGCAGGTGGGGGCCAGCGCTGCCCACCTCCACCATCCGTCTTCAGCTGCTGTATTGTGGCAGCTCCATTGCCAGAGGGCAATCAAAGTTTCCGAGTGATGGAAGGCAAAGTAATAGACGTGGGGAATAAAAGCTTGCGATAGCCTCAAAATGGGCCTGTTTGGATGCCTTTTCACATGGGCCCCACGCAGCGTTTGGCGCTGGCTGGGACAGAAAAGAAAAGCAAGACACCAGGGTTAGCCCGGGTTTCCTTTTCTGCTTTCTCATTTGCTCGGGTCTTGTTTTGCTTCTGAATCGGAAATCTGGAACTGAAACCATACTTGACTGCTGAGCCCACTCAGGCTGCCCGGCCCTCCTGCTCCCAGCGGGAAACTGAGGCTGGAAGCCTGCCGGGCGAGGGGCCTGCCCTCGGCTCCCACAGCACCTGGGCTGCCTGCTGCCTGCCCAGGACCACCTGTGGGGGCCTTGCTGCGTGTGCCGAGGGTGGGGGAGACCCTTGGCCATGGCCCAGCTGTCAGCGGCAGGCAGGGAGGCTCACATAACAGGCAGTGATGCGTCCTGGACGTGAGGCTGGAACGACTCCCTCCGTTCCTCCTGCCCAGAGGGTGTTTCCACAGGGCAGAGACCATACACGGCTCCCTGTTGGGCCCCAGCGCCTAGAACGGTGCCTGGCACACAAGTAGGCGCCTAGTGCATACGTGCTGAATGGATGAACCAACAGATGACTCGCCTGATCCTCAGGACGGGATGGGAGAGGGTTTGAGGAGGAGACACCCCCGCCCCTCCCAGAGGGGACCATCTGGGGCTGCATTCAGATGACCTGGGGGCGCGTGGAGGAACAAGTCCCCTCCCCAGCAGGGACAGGCAGGCAGACACCTGACGTGTGGCCACGAGGAGGAGGCCTCACTGTGCCACACCCTTGCCCGGGCGGCACCCCCTACGACCCGGTGTGGAGGGTCACACCGTCACCCCTTTTTTTGGAGGTGGGAAAATGGAGGCCTGGAGAGGTAGAGGGACTTGTCCAAGGCCGCAGAGCCAAGAGGGCAGAGCCAGTTGGTCTGCTGCGTCCAGGCCCGAGGCCCGCCCCCCACCCCCCACCCCCTGGCCTGC